CTTCCTCCTCTTTCTTCTTCACCTCCTCTTCCTCCTCCTTCTCCTCATCCTCCTCCTCATCATCAACATCAATAACAACAACCTTCTTCTCCTTCTCCCCCTCCGCCTCACCCTCATCCTCCTTTTTCTATCCCTCATCCTCCTTCTCCTCCTCCTCCTCCTCTTCATCATCATCACCATCAACAACAACCTTCTTCTCCTTCTCTTTCTCCTCCTTCTCCTCCTCTCCAATTATCAGCATCCTCCCCGTTATCCTCATTCTCCTATTATTCTCTTTCTCCGCAACATCATTCTTGTTTTCCAAATCACAATTACACTTCGATCACAATCATTGTCATTATCATCCTTGTCATCCTCTCCTTAATTATCACTCTCTTCCTCCTCTTCATCAGCACCATCCATAGCAGCAACAACAATATTACCTTCATTTTTACTACCATCATCACCAACATCTCTTCCATCATTATTACCCCCCGATTATTGACATTATTTCTATTTTCATCAGCTTAATCATCATCAGTACTGACTTTCCCAACCCCAACATCAACCTCAGCCTCGCAGCCATCCTCATTTTGACATAATTTCTTCTCCTTTCTCTGCATATGACAGTGACGAAGATCTTAGAAATCGACTGGACAAACATCATATTGCCAACAACTTGAATATATTCACTTTGGGTTTGTTTGGAATTAGTTCAGACAATTACTTCGAACATATACAGAAAAGCTGGCTTGCCAATACCGTCTCAGAATGCTTCGAATTTCATTTCAAAGAAGAAGTCACACATCAGGCTGGTCCAAAACACATCTTGTTGCTGGTTATTAAGATTGATGTGAAGACTTTCACTTCATATGGAAATACGTGCTGAATAGATTCGTGGGTCAATCCCACCAGAAGACGTCGGCCGATTTGCGTTGCACTTCACTCGTTTGTCTTTAATACCACCTTCCGGTTGATGCAGTCCACGAGACATCCTCCAACGTTTCGGGCGAAGACGGGCTGAGCTTTCGTTCGCCATGCCACATGACGAACATCGTCAAAGCTGAGACTCATTCTTGTAGAAGCCTCGAGTTAACGCTAAGTCAAGAAGACAAGATGAAGGGATTCGTAGTTTCTTTTTGATTCTGTGTTAACTCGAGGCTTTTACAAGAACGAGTTTCGGCTCTGACGACGTTCGTCATGTGGCACGGCGGACGAAAGCTCAGCCCGTCTTCGCCGGAAACGTTGGAGGATGTCTCGTGGACTGCATCAACCGGAAGGTGGTATTAAAGACACATGACTGAAGCTCAGCCCAACGAAACTCTTCATCATGTACTTCGAAACTCAGTTTTTCTGCCCAATTTGTGTATTTCGTTATTTGTCTATTCGTATCTTTGTTTATTTATTTATTTAATTAAGCTTTATATTGCCCACTCCGGCCCGGGCCACGGAATGAGTTGTGACTTTGGGAGGAGAGACACAGTGACCGAGTCCAAGTTTATTCCGCCTGTACTCTGGATCCCCTGACCACGAGATCCCTCGAAACCAGCATTTTCTTCGTGTATGATCATTAAGATTTTGCATTACACGTTCGGCATGGAAGTTGGTGAAAAGTAACAGAACAGTCGA